CTTTTATCAAAACGTGGAACATCATCTTCATGAGGAAAGCTATTTCCAAAAGATTCGGAAAGACCATAGTTGTCAGAACTAGACATTTACAAAAGGGAGAAATTCAAGTTAGTTGATTCAATCATTAATATAACATCTAAATGAAATATTAAGGATAGGACCCAACAAAATAATTCACAATTCGGAAGAGTGATGTCGTAATCCAATTGTAAATTATTTTTTGGTAGGTAATAGATGATTTACCAATTCAACCATGAAAACAAAATTTTAAACGAATTAGGTTTTAAATGAAACTCCTAGATCTTTTGAGATTCATTGAACTTTTTAATGGCATGTTTAATCTCGATTATGCCCTTCAAGTTTGTGACTGGGATACCGAGGATCACAAAACAAGGTGTGAATAACCATGCAAATTAGTCTGGTATTCTTGAAGTCATTTATCACATAATCAATGTGCCGGTTAACCACACACACTCCATTAATCTATGATAATCTATGAGCTACCCATTGTCATCCTTCATTAGTCTCATATTAGTGCGACGGTTAACCACACACGCTCCACTAACGACCAATAAAGTGCAATGTGCAATTTCATGGGTTAGCATCAAATTCACATTTTTCCTAAAGTAACTAAGATTGGAAATTTAGACTGAAGGGTATGGGAGGGATGTTTCCCTCACTTTTTGTGGGGCACACCACTCTTTCCCTCACCTAAAACCCAAGGAATGGGTGAGAAGCTTCCCTCACTATTTTTTTATTTTTTTTTTAATATATATTTCATACATATATTATACTCATTTTGTAGGGAATTAAAAACCATGAATTTTGATATATTTTTTAGTAGGTATATCATTTTATAAATATTAAAAAAGATAAATAAAAAAAATCTACCCAATAGCATGAGGAGAGAGTGTGTGGCACCCCCTTCCCCACCTCTTTCCCGCGGGTTGCTTCCCTCACCCAAGGGATGGTGTTCCAGTGTGAGGGAAGCTTCGCTCTCCCCTTTCTTGCTATAATACCTTCCGGCCTTATAAAATGTTTAGTTACTTTGTATTCTCATTATACTTATTAATGAGAATGTTCTATCATACTCGTTCGGCTAACGACCCTTCACTAGTCAAAAGTACGGTGGGTAAGAGTGGATACCCAATGACAGTCATTTTACAAGTCGCTTCCTTAAACACCCTTATATACCAGCTTCGTGAATGAGGTCTACTAACGGTAAGACTGATCTTTTACTTATACATATATAATATATTAGACTTTTAATTTTATGTAGTATAAGGGTGTATTTTAAACTTTTAAAATACATGTGGTTTAATCTATTCATAAATTATACTTTTAATTTAATTAAATTTAAACCATATTATTATGGATTTATTAATTCTCTCTTTTAATTAAACACTTAATTAATTTAATAAAATCCATAACGGGTAAATTAAACTATTCAAAATACCAAGGTTCTAAATTTAAGATTTAAAAATTGAAACTATTTAATCAAATTTTAAATTATAAAACCATGAGGTGCACTTTTGAAACTTTTCCAAAATACTTGGGTTTAACCATTTAAATTTTTAAAACTTTTAATTTCAAATTTAAACCATAATACCAAAATGGTGTAATTTAAAACTTTTTCAAAATTACTAGGTCAAATATTTGAATCAAAATAATCTTATATTATCTATATTTAACCAAATCAATCAATTTTGATAAGGATATCTCATACCAATCAAGAAAATCAAATTTACGCATTAAAACCAAGTTATGGTAATAATCCAAATGAAAATCTGATCAAAATTCGAAAAATTGAGGATCTGACAGGCCTAGTCGTTGAGTCCGGGAAGTGCACTCGTCGAGTAGGGCCAACTCGTCGAGTTCTGGGCACTGCACTCGTCAAGTCCAAAACTGAACTCGTCGAGTCCGTCAGTCACATAACAAAAAACAATTTTTTTTCTTCAACTTTGAACAATTCACCATGACATCAAATATAACAGAAAGACGACCTAGGCTCTAATACCACTGATGGGTTTTGAGCACTACAACATTTCTATGGTGTACATGCAACCCTAATGCTTTGGATCTAAGTTTTTCTCAAGTATACATGCAATTCATATCCATAGCATAAACCCTAATAACTAGCATACCAATTTCGAAATTGACACATAAAATAGGGTTTAGATGTTACCTTTCTTGTTGTTGATTTGATCTTAACCTTCAAGAGCTTAATGCCTCAAATTTTGCATCTCTAATGGAGTCACAAATATCACTAGCAACAAGGAAGAACGAGAGAGGGATGAGGTGGACTCAAAAGCGGCTAGGGTTCTCTTAGAAACTCATAGGGGGTGATTTTGTGTACCTTGGGGTTTCTTATATAGTTGAGATATTAGGGTTTTCAAGAGGAAACCCTAATTTGCCTTGCTTAGGCCCTAAGTAACACATGGATCCCTTATTGTAACTGGTAAGCCTATGGACTAAATCTATATGGACTTTCATATAGTTTTCGTCCACCCTATACCAATAAGGTCCATTAGCCTAAACTACAATTATTACTGATTTACATAACCAGTCCCCCGTTCTTTTAATCAGCCTCTTTTGATCACCAAATTAATTTATGATCAATACTAATTAAATAGTATGATTTCTCAATTAATATATTATTCTTATAATATACTAAGAAATCATAAACTGTCCTCTTTCTCTATAATTCATCCTATCTGTTGCTATGGTGAAGGCAACCCAAAAGAACCATACTACTATTAGGTCAAGTACATTCCAATTATAATTATGGGCTTAGACATCTAGTCCCACATATTTAGACATGAATTTAAAGATTAGGTTAGTTTCAAAGAGCATGTTTTGAGCCTTATAACTTGGTGAATGAGAAGTATTAAAGTTTGTTAATACTTTCAAGTACCAATTTATATATAATGAATTTAAAGATTAGGTTAGTTTCAAAGAGCATGTTTTGAGCCTTATAACTTGGTGAATGAGAAGTATTAAAGTTTGTTAATACTTTCAAGTACCAATTTATACAGAATTGAGTGAACGACATATCATAATTGAATCGATAGTCAGACATAGGATTGGAATCGTTATATTTCTAAGTTCTCTTTCAACTTATTATTCTTTTAGAGTTGTTTAATTAATATCGTGTAAACAACTCTTCCCCCCCCCCCCCCTCCTCCCGAATTTTTAGTGAGTAACTTGTACTTTGTGCAAAGATGTATATGTGTCTTTGATGATTGATCTTGACTCTCTTGTAGTACTTTTTACTGCAATGTAGCAATGTTTTTTTGAGTCTATCCTACTCCTTTTATTTTTTGGGTTTAACACCCTAACGATGTTAATCACTTTATATTTTATTCTCCCCTTAAGTTACGATTAGTTTGAGAAATAATGAAAAATAGAGTAAATTACTGAAATCGTCCCTATAGTTTGGTCAAAATTAATGTTTGGTCCCTAACGTTTTTTTTTTTTTTTTTTTTGCACTCGGATCGTCCCTGTGGTTTGATTTTGTTGCGTTTTTAGTCCCTTACATACATAAAATTATGGACCAAATATGCAATTTTGATCAAACCATAGAGACGAAAAAACATGCAATTTTGATCAAACCACGGGGACGATCCGAGTGCAAGAAAACATTAGCGACCAAACATGCAATTTTGAACGATTTCAGTAATTTACTCTGAAAAATATGGAAAAGGCAGTGCCGGAGAGACAATGATCATGATGTTGGCTGATTTTTCGAATGTTAGTTTAATTTCAACTATATTTCATAGGTATATAATTATTTATATTTCTATTTTAGTTTTGTGGTTTTTTTTATTATGTTTTGTTTTACTAATAAAGGTAATGTCAAATGGTGTTAATGATTAGATTGCTTAAGTTGTTCGAAAGCCTGATTTGGCTCCAACTACATGGGTACAAAAGCTAGTAAATTTTTGGGCTCAAGATCCTAAAGGCACATCACGTTCTTGGAAAAGAGTGGGGTAAAAAAATTGAAGAGATGTTTAGAAGAATGAAGTATGATCTTACATGCTTCGCTTCAACTGTACAGGTTTATAGGTACACTATTCTAATACACATGATAAACTTATTATATTTTACTTTTAGTTATTTGATTATAAATTTATGTATTTTGAAGGGCATGAAATTGGATTGGATCGGGTATGGCCATGTATAGCACATTCTGAAGAAAAAAAAAAATCATTTTCAGATCATGTACTTGTTGTAAGTAAAGAATGATTAGAATATTTCTGAGACAGTAATTAAAAAATGAATAAGATAATGATGAGAATGTTTTGACGGTTTAAAAAAAAAAAAAAGGGATTCTTAAGCATAAAAATGGTATATAAGAAGCCACAAAAGTTTATTCTTGACCATTATTATCATCAAGAACGAAGCTTTAACCAAATTCTTAACCAGTCTCATGAAATTTAATTTTATTTAATGTTATCCTTTTGTACATTTTTTATTTTATTAATATTATATATGCTTAAATTTTAACAAATTAGATGGAGCTTTACAAAATATTTCACAAAGATAAAGTTAAAATAATTGATTTGAAAAAAAAAAAAAAAAAATACGACTTTTAACTAGATGATATGATTTTGCGTGTATCCTCAAACACTCAAAGCGAATGTCATCCTCATCCACACTCTTAAATAAGAATAACTTTAATAAGACGAATTTGGGTTCTTCAAGCTAAACTTTGGGGCATCTAAAATTCTCAATCCATGTTTCTCCAACTAAATAAATATACTAATACACTAAGAGCATCATACACTGATCCAACATGCAAAACATCAAAGTTATGGTCATTCATTCAGGTACACAAATGATATTTGTGGTAAACATCAATCCCATTAAGTATTAAAACCAGAATTATTGTTGTATATGAATAATTGTATATCTCAGATATTGTAACAACCTCATGTCACAAATGAACACTCATTACTTCAATCAACATTAGAAGTTAAAAAATTCAAACAAATTAATTTGTGGGTATCTGGGTGATGATTAGTGATGTTGATTTCATGTTTTTAATAACTTTCTTCTTTATTCTATATAAATTTTTTAACCAAAAGCAGGAGCATAACATAAGACCATGTCTTTGTAAACATCTCTCCAAGCATTCAAACCCGAGATTAACATAATTTAATATGAGGGGAGAAAATATTCGTCGGACTGAATAATAATAATAGTGACAACAAAGAAATTATGAAAATGGAAAACTTTGGTTAATTTAGTGTTTTTTTTATCACTTTTTGGTACTACCTTACCTCCAAATATTAATATTTTTCCTGTTCATGTTCCTGGTGTTTATTGACCAGATCCACGAGTTTGCAACCTCCTCCTTTCAAGCTCAAGCTGAAGAAAAAACAATTCAACAATTAAACATCTACTTTTTTTTTCTTAGTAATTATTATTTGATTTTGTTGGAAATTAATTAATAATAATAATAATAATTAGTAACTTTCTTACCACTTTCCTAACTCGCTCATTGGCAGCAGGAGTTCCTCCTGTAACAGATTCAGCAAGATATGGACTGCTAACACGCACCTCGTTCATCACCACTATCACGCTCTTGTCCCACCGAACAGGCAGCCTTTTTTACCAAATAATAAATTTGTATTATGCAAATTGAAATTTTAAGTATGTATTAAGAGCATTAAAGATGAAAAACTATATCACAGCATGCTTTTCTAGGGTCTAAACTATGATTAGAAACACAAGTTGAATAGGTAATCAAAGATACATATTAAAGTTAGGAGTAGCAAAGGGATGAAAAAAAAGAGATGCATACGTTTTAGACAAAGCATCAAAAATGCTCTGAGCCTCTGCAGTAACACCAACCCCGATTCTCTCAACATCTATCTCTGCTTGTCTGTAATAATCCAATCACAATACATCAATCTCAACTCGCTAATACAAGTCATTCAGGCTTTCTCACAAACAATTGGTAGGCATTTAAATAAACAACATCTCAATGTTTCACCAAAGCTTATTGAATGTTGAAACAAATTTTGATTTTGAAAACACATCTCGATTTCTTAACATGTTCGTTTAAATAATTTCACAAAAACATGGAAAGCACTTGCGGAATGGAAGATTTTTTTTAAACCCACCGCCATAGAAAGAGCAACAGGGAGTTTGATTTTGAATTTCAAAGTAGTTAAATTTATACTTGAAGAAGATCGATTTGAATTTGTTAACTAAAGCAAAATAAAAACTGTTGATAGTGTTGTTATAGTCGAGTAAAATCTGCAAGTAAATCTGTATGATATTTTGGCTTTAAAGAAGAATGCTAAATTCATTGAGACAAATTTACAAACACATGGCGGGGGATTCCATAAACAAATCGATTTACTAACCTAACGGCGGCATCTTCTTTAGATTGGAGTGAATTGAGATCGAGATAGCATTTCTTGAGATCAAGTGGGTCATCAGATTGACCCAAAAAGGAAAACTCTTTGATGTAGTTGGCTTTGAGTAACCTAATGTTGCGGCGTGATTGTGGGTTCGATTTCAAACCTTCTTGGAGGACGACAATGTTAGAAGGGCGATCGTAGGTTATGACTTGACCTTCAAATTCGTCTCCAAAAGTAGTTTTTATCGATAGCAGGCATCCAACTGCGAATTCTTCACCTCCGCTGCTCCCATCCATCGCCATCTCTCTCGCCTTGAAAAGTGAAAATTGCAAACTGAGGTTTTCCTTTTTCCGTTTGCTTTTTTGATTTCAGACTTTAAAAATATCATTTTGCTGAATGGTCCCTAAACTACATTTTATTTTCACTATTGTCCTACTTTCAAACTTTTGTTACGAAAGTAATTTTGTTGTCAAACTTGATTTTAATATTATTCCAAAAGGTCGGGTTGTAATTCCGCCCCACCATACCCAAAAGTTCGGTTGTAATTCCGCCTCCCAGAAGCACCACATCAGCAACTCTAGGGTCAGATTTATCTTGATGGAAGCAAGAATAACAATACAGTTTATAATGCTACAGCATCCGATAATAAGCAAAATCCTACGAAAAGAAAATGAGGGATACGAAATAATCATAGTGGATGCATCGGATGGACGTCAAGTGATTGATATTATCCCTCAGGGGCCAGAACTTCTTGTTTCAGAAGGTGAATCTATCAAAATTGAGTAACTGTTGACAAGTAATCCTAATGTGGACGGATTTGATCAGGGAGATGCAAAAATAGTACTTCAAGATCCATTATGTGTATAAGGCATTTTATTCTTCTTAGCATTAGATATCTCTCCTTCTTTGTTTCCACCTCCTGGGAGGGTTCTTCAACTTCCTTTGTGTGGTAGCTAGGAGGGTAGATGGTGCTCCTGCCGATACCGAGAGCACCACATCGACACCCTTCTTCAATTATCACATCAATGCCCACCACCCTTACTTTATTACCATAGTTGAAGAGATTAAATACACAACAAAGATTTGATGAATTTTTCATTGTTTTATATTATATCGATGAAAAGTAACAAACTATATGTAGCATCCAATCTATCAAAGATAGCAACCTAAAATTTTTCTAGTTAAAACATATGAAAATACCAATAAAACCACCATAAATAATGATTTTTTGCTTTTTCAATTTGTTTTTTCAAGTGACATTTACATACCTTAAATTTAACCATATGTTTTTCAACTATTGAAAATCTCTTTGCAACGTAGATTTACTGATTAATATTTTTATATTGTTTTCTTTTCAATGATTATATACACGACGATAATTGAGAAAAAAAAAACACCACACAAACCAGTGATTTACACGGTTAGATAAGTTTCTTTGCTATGCCAAGGAAATCTCTGATCACATCAAATCTTCAATTTTGAGATCGGAATTAACAGTCTATTTGATGATGCGTATTCTTCGTTTTGTACCACCAAAGATGTGCTACGTGCTAGAGACCCACTTGCACTCCATCGGCTTTAATCATTGATGCCGGTTCAATAGGCGAAACAAGGCTGATGAGTCCATCAAATAGAATTAAAGAATCAATCGCTAATTTAACGTTCTATCTTCACTAAAAATCTTCACACTAAGTAAATTGATTATTAATATAACAAAATTTGGTTTTAATGTTTGTGATCACCAAAACAGACAGGGATTGGCATTAAGTGTATAATACACAACTACGAAATGCACCAACAGATAATAATATAACATCAATTATTCAATTTCTTTGCAAGTTTTGAGCAGTTGAGGTAGTGCGTGAACCAAAGGTGTTTGTTCCATCGGCTCAGGCTTCTTTCTTGAGAATCGTCATTTTTGGAATAAGACTAAACAGCATAGCCATTGGTTTCATTTTTCGATTGTTGTTTAATGTCCATCCCCATAGATGGCGCCAAATAAGGATACAAAATTTGCTCATTGTAGAATGCACAGACGTTGCTACGTCTTAAGCACATGAAAAGATGTCATTGTCTCCTTCGCATCGGAGATCATATTTTAGTTACAAAAGATTTACATTTGAGATGTCTCATATGCCTCGAATGTAACGTCTCATGCAACGGGAACGTAGTAGTTTCTACTTTCTATGACTATAATATGAGGAGCAAAAGCCCATGCATAGAACTGAACACTCGGCTTCTGGGTGTGTGTGCCTCTCTCTCTCTCTCTCTCACACTCTCTCTCGTATTAATCATGTTTGTAGTAAGCGATAAGTTTAAATTGTGATTTATCTTTCAAATTTATATTTGGTTTTTAAGCCCAACGTTTTTTATCTCCATGATTTATTTATTTTTTAAATGGCAAAAGAAAACATGTGAAATTTGTTTATGATTTAGAAAACCAAACAAAGTATGGTATGTATTCATTCAATAGTAATCACTTGTTTATAAAACTTTAAAAACAAAAGCAAAACAGATCGATAACAATATTTATGGATGAGGATGAATGTTTGATTATTAGAAAAGCTTTTATTGGATAAGGGTTTTAAAGATAGATTATATGGATTTGGCATTATAAAAAAAAAACAAAAAACTTTAAGATAGTGACCATTGAGTACGCACTAAGATGTCTGCGCCAAAAAAAAATGTTTTGTGGGACCCTGCTCAATCATGTGGTAATTAAAAAGTTTGAATTCAAGGATTAATTATCAACATATTCACGACTACTTTACTTACATATGCGACCTTCCGGGAGAAAACAAGGTCAAAATAAACACCAAACATATGAACCAGGTAGAGGTATTCAACATAATCCATAAACGTTGGCGAGATTAACAGTGCGACTGGTTTCATTAGAGCCCAAAAGCAAAAGTAGGACCCACACCCCCAGCAGAAAAAGGTATAAGGCGCAGTCAACAAGTCACTGTTTTTACCTTTTTGGCGAGTAGAAACAACAAAAGCTCAGCAACCAAGACAAGTAACTGACTGTGTTAAAGACGTGAGAAGCTTTGTTGCAGAGTCAGAGTGTCACTAAAAAGTTGACAACCAAATTTTGCAGTTTCAAAGAAGAAGCCCAAAAGAAGCAGAGATGAAGATGAAGATGCGAAGCTAAACCATGTCAAGAGGAGTAGTAGTAGTAGTAGTAGTCTAAGATGAAGCACAAACTAGAAGATGATGACGAAGGCGTTGGTTGGGTTGGTTGGTTGGTTGGTTCTCAGCCGATAACCAAACCTCAAAATATATAAAATAAAAAAAAAATGTTTAGAAACAAAATACACTTAAATATTGTAATATTAATAAGAATATCATACTTCAAGACAGAAAGTAAACAAAGCAATTTAAGAAAAGAAATGGACCTCTAAGCCGATGAGCAACCCCTTTTCGCGGGTATAAAGTGCAGTACCACATCGGATGCCAGGTACAAACACACCACAATGTCATATCATCATCTTCATCATGATTCATATATAAATATATATAATAAATAGAACGCTACCCCAATTTTGTTCATCACGAAAAAAAACATATTAACCCCAACCTATCATTTTTCCATTCTCTTTCTTCCATAATCCATCCCTTCTTCATTCCATCTTAAACTCTGAAAACAAGCATTTATATAAGCATTTAAAAACAAAAAACAAATTAAATAAACATGAAACATACCCGTTAGCATATGGGGAATCACGCCTGGCACGGCGATATGGAGGTGGTGATCTGCTGGCACGTCCTCTGTAAGGTGATATGCTCCGGCGAGGTGGAGACCTTCTCCCACGTGGACTGTATCTCGGACTATAACTTCTGTAAAAAACAAACACATTTTCACAAAAAAGAATGTCATTCCAAAATCACAAAATAACTTTATAAATTATAATCATAAACAACTTTGACATACCGACGACCATAACTTGGACTTCTTCGTCGTCTAGGACTAGGGCTGCGACGCCGCCCACTACCTAACCCACGTGGGCCCACACGTAGGCGGCATTCACGGGCAAAATGACCAGGCTCACCACACTCGTAACATTTCAGGTCATCACCACCACCACCACCACGTCCACGGCCACCACCACCACGCCCGCCACCTCCACCATCCTTTGAATTGTGGGAGAGCTCTACACGCCACCCGTTCTTCCCTGAGTACATTCAAATTTCAAATACACTTGTTATACCATTTAATAAGACATGTAATTATATTTATAAACCCGATGATATCTAACATTATGGCTATGAATTTTAATGCTTCTGAATAGAGAAAGATGATACCATCCAACGCACGAATAGCATCTAGTGCATCTCTGCGATCATCAAACTCAACAAATGCATAACCAGGTGGCCTTCTAGCAACCCACACACTGCATTCAGTTCAATAACAATCATAGGTTAGCATTTAGAAAGTTGGTTTGTTAATAAAAGGACAAAAACAAAATATTGGGCATGTTATGAAGGCTAAATAGCAGTAGTTAAAAAATGCAAGTAATAAAGAGAGAAAGGTTCAACCAAAATATGCATGTACGTTGTTTTATATACCATATGATTATACTATGTCACACTTGAAGTTTATTATAACTTTAATGTTAATTACAAAATAATAAACAATATCTTCTCAGGGTGTTTCGTAATTCACAGGATACCAAAGCTAAAAGGTTAGAGAAAACGCTTAACCCGTAGATGGATCAAGCAATGTATAACACGATGTTTTATACATGTTTTGTTATTTATTCCTTTTCTATTGATTTATTCCATTACCTTTGATGATACGAACAAACACAAAGAACAAATATCGAGTACATTGTTATAAAAAAATCACAAATAATTTAAGCAAAGCTTACTTCCTCAGAACACCGTAGACGCGAAATTCATCTTCAAGCTCTCGCTCGGAAACTCGTGGATCCAGGTTCCCAACATACACACGAGACATCGCCGTTCACCTATCACAAAAATAGGTAACACCGTAATCTCACCAAATCATGTATGATATAAGCGATCTCCATTTTCGCTTCACGAATAACAAATTACAAATTACAGGTAAAAACCTAAAATTAATTGAAACGTCCTGTAAATAAGAATCAATACTTACAATCAGGTGAATTATGATTACCTCTGCAAATTTTTAAAAGGAATTGCGATCCTGTCGAATAAATTGAAACGCAAACGGGAGGCAGTAAAACCCTAATCGATGAGAGAGTTAGTGAGACAAAGAAAAAGGAAATCGTAGAGAGCGATCGACTAGAGGTCTTCTTTTAGGCATGGGAATGGGCTTATCTTTTGGGATGTCAAACGAGCCACCTATTTGGTCCATATCAATTGCTGCGGGCCTGTGGCCTATAAAACTGATAATATTGATTTGATCGACTAAGGTTTAGGTACAAGCAAAAAGAATCGTAAATTAAAAACAAAAAATTGTAATAGGTTTTGCAAAAAATAAAAATTTCCGGTAGTGGAACCACACGGCATAAAATTAAATATTATTACTTGATGATACAAATATACGTAGTGAAAGTTTATTCTTTGTAAATTTTACATGTATCTTATTTGATCAACTACTCGGGTTTAACAAAGAGATCCTTTGGGATCATTTCTTTTTGTCATTGTGTTGCATCCACTCTTGTATAATAATAGAGACAATTGTAAGTTCATTCTCCATGCATGGTACATTGATGATGACACACTTGTTGGAGATTCGGATGAGGTAGCCAAAGCGTTGGACATCATTACGTGATTGGCCCAAAATTGAGCCTTCAGCTGAATATCAAGAAAACCGAATTTTTTTGGCCCTCGTGTGATGGTAGGAAGCTACGTGAGGGGCTATTCCCGACTGGCATCGGGAGGCCGCATTTGGAGGTGAAACTTTTTGGGGGAGTTGTCAATAGAGATGCTAGTTTCATTAGCAGCTTAATCATAAAGATAGTCGGAAAACGCTATGAATTTGATGAGCCATCTTCCATAATTATCTGACCCCTAGAGTGAGCTCCTTCTATTTTGGTCTTGCATGGGTATTGTTAAGCTTTTCTTTAGGATGAGGACGTGTCAGCTCGTTCATATGGAGGTGGCAGAAATGTTCTTTGACAATTGGTTGCACAGGGCGATTGAGGACATTGTGGTTTGTGATGGCCCTTTTTTTGGCGACATACAACGGCGAATTTTTTCCTTACCCATTAGGTTTGGAGGTTTGGGTTTATACTCGGCAGTAGAGGCTACCTCATGCTTTTGTTGCCTCAATGGTCCAATCTTGGGTATTTCAAGACCACATCTTATGGGATAGCGGCATATATGGTATGGATTCTGATTATGATTGTGACTTGGCTTCTCTTCGTAACAAGCTTCCAAATTTTGATCTTAACAGTTTTACTACTAAAGACATCGCCCCCCCCCCCCCCTAAATCTCAAAATACGCTGGCGAGTACCCTTTTAGTAAAATTGACCAAGATATGGAAGTGCATCTCGACATGATGACTCGGCAGAAAGCAGTTTTGCAGTGCTTACGTACACCACATTAGGGGTGAGCATTTTGACCGGTGGACCGGACCGCTTTTTTGGACCCCCGGGCCGGTTTTCGGTTCTAGGAATCCATCAAAACTAGTCCGGTTTTTTTCCCCGTCCGATCCGGTTTTTACAGGGTTTATAACCGGTTAGAGCCGATTTTAAAAAAATGGTAATTTGTGAAATTTTTTAAACTATCATAACTCATTCGTTTTAAGTCGAACTGACATGAGGTTTTTTCCAACGTTTAATTTACAGTTTGTAGATGAATTTATACTATAATTTTTTTGATTTTTGTATTATATTCAATGAGTTATAGTCTTTCAAAGTTAAGCTATAAATTCTGAAAATTTTCAGCTTTTCAGCAACATTTTTTAAATTTTGTAATCTGTGAAAATTTTTAAACAACTATAACTCATTTACTTTAAGTCGAATTGACACGCGGTTTTTTCCAACATTTTATTTACAATTTGTAGATGAATTTAGACTATAATTTTGTTGGTTTTGGTATTGTATTCAATAAGTTACAGTCTTTCAAAGTTGAGCTATAAAAGCTGAAAATTTTCAGCTTTTCAGCAACATTTTTAAAATTTTGTAATTTGTGACAAATTTTAAACAACTATAACTCATTCGTTTTAAGTCGAATTGATGCGCGATTTTCACGTCTTCCAATTGCGGAAGTGCATACTATATTAGGAGGCAGTAGTGTCATTAGATGATATTGAAGTCGATGAGCATCTGAATTACGTGGATAGGCCAATGGTCATTCTAGAGAGGAGTGTGAAGGTTTTGAGAAACAAGGAGGTACCTTTTGTACAGGTACAATGGGAGCAACGGAGAGGATCTGAATGGACTTGGGAGCCGGAGGCTGAGATGCGGGAGCATTACCCGGATTTGTTTACTGCAACAGACTTCAAGGATGAAGTATAGTTCAAGTGGGGAGAATTGTAACATCCCGACTTCCAGGTATAAATTTGAAGTTTTTATATTCATATTATTAGACATACTCGACGAATTGGCTGCCCCAACTCGTCGTGTAGAAACTGGTCCGACCGTGGAGATTATGAAGCCTACTCGACGAGTTGGAGGACCCAACTAGACGAGTTGAGGTTGTACATGAAAACCCTAATTTTAGGGTTTGCACCCTATTTAAAGGAGCTTAAGTCCTCTCTCCAGCCTCCCTTACCACCTTATCGTCCAGAAGAAAACCCTAAATGAGCTAACCTTCCATTTTGAGTGTGTACAAGGCTAAAGAATGTGTGTTTGCCGCATTTCTTGGAGAAACTTGAAGGTTCGGAAGCTTGGAACGAGAAGGAGCTTATAGATCCCGCATCTACTCAGTTGTAGCAACCATTTGAAGGTAAAAAGTCGTTACCTTGATCATTTTCTTGTTAGATCACTCCATTCAAGAGTTTAGCACCTTTTTAGCCCACTTTGGATCCATTTTTGGAAGTTAAGCATGATTTGAAGTTGTAATTTCAGATCTGGACACCTCTAGGCCCCATAGTCATAAAGTTATCAACTTTATCTAGTCTTGGCCTTTCCCCATGCCCTAAATCTCTTCCTAAGACTAGTTTTGGGTGTTTTAGCCTATTGAGACCTTGCATATACGTAAAGTTGGCAACTTTACGTGGTAACTACACCCTAGGAGGCTAGATCTACAGTTTGGAGCCTTGGTTTCACTTAAAAGCGTCTGAATGAGAAAAGGGCTGAAGGAACTCGACGAGTTTCATAGCTAACTCAATGAGTTAGATAGGGTTTACCCGCTTTCTGGATTTTGAGCGAACTCAACGAGTGGGTAAGATGACTCAACAAGTTGATTAGGGTTTTCCCGGTCTTCTGGACACTAAAGAACTCGACAAGTTACTTAAATGACTCGGGGAGTTAACTCGAGTTTTCAATTTCAGAGTTCTGAAGGAACTCGACAAGTTAATAGATAAACTCAATGAGTTGGGTCAACATGGACTGTTGACTTTGACCATTGTCTTTGACTTTGAGCAATGGTTGACCAAGTTTGACTTATATGGGTATTCTGGTAATTTGGGATCCTAATGGAATCAGTGATATGGTGGTTACAGGTAGTTGAGTTGGGGCTAAGAGTTGGGGTTGATCTTCTTGATTCATCACTACCTGTGATGTGAGTTTTCCTCATTATACTTAGGGGTCAAAGGCACCAAGGCCGAACCACTGGATCTGATATCTTATTAGTTGATGATATGTTGAGTATGAGTTAATTATGCATGCTAGTTTGCTATGCCAGTCCGGTAGATCTATATGACTACCTGTGATATTGTCTGATTATCTGTATGTGCATTTAGTTGTTATATATTGACATGTTGTGTAGGTAAGGTTGAGGTTGTACTGCTCCGTGTGGTGACCAACAAACTCTGGAGTATGCCAGATATGAGCTGAGGTCCGAGAGAGCATGTCAGACTTATACTGAGGACTCGTAAGCATTCTATACGCAAGCTGAGGGCTAGGGGAGCATGCCAGACTCAGATTGAGGACTTATTAGTTATACTTCAGTCTTAGGACTGAAAGGGCAAGCCAGTCATAAGTTGTGGGCTCAAGAGCAAACCAAACTTATGTTGTGGGCTTGAAGCAAGCCAGATGTGAGTTGTAGGCCTGCAAGGCAAGCCAGACTCATAATGTGGGCTCAGGGTAATCCAGTTTGTACAGTTGTGGACCCAGTACGTGTTGTTATTATGTGTGCTAGTTGTTATGTATCGGTATTTTGGGGGAACTCACTAAGCTTCGAACTTACAGTTCTCAATTTTGTTTCAGATACTTCGGATGATCACGGGAAGGCGAAGGCTTGATCGTGCACCTCCTCACATTTTATGATTTTGATTTATGGGATACTCTGATATGAAACTATTTTGAAAACATTTTGTATTAAATAAAGGTTTTTTATGCTTGAAAAGGTTTTAAATTTTCATGAATTTTATGGATGTTACAGGAACCCAATTATTAATTGGGTGTTGTTTTGATGTTGACAGTTTGGGGATTTGTCAGCCAACAACCATAGTTTTATCCGCGAGACTTCAGTAGTGTGAGGTGAATCTCCTCACCATATCAATGGGTCGAAGGCACCAAGGCTGACCTATTATGTGTTATGTGGTATGCCATTTGATTATGTGGTATGTGGTATGCTAGTTGTCTTTGTGATACTTACATGGAAGACTCCGGGGGGTTTCTGAGACAATTGGATATAAGACCATGTGGGGGTTCCCATGAAATTCCAGGCTAAGACTATGTGTGGGTTCCCATGGCATCCGGTGTAAGACCTTGAAGGGTTTCCATGACATCCTTAGTTAAAAGCATGTGGGGGTTCCCATGACAGTGGGCTAAGACCATGTGGGGGTTCCCATGGAACTCGAAGTAAGACCTTGGAGGGTTTACAGGGCATCCTTATATGTTGTATGCATGGCTTATGTGGTTTGTGTGATTATGTGGATTGTGTAGGGTATGTTATGGGGAACTCGCTAAGCTCCGTGCTTACAGTTCTGTTTATGGTTTCAGGTATCATTAGTTTGGAAAGGAAGGGCACGACTTGATCACAACGCATACCCCCATGTTTTCCGCCATATGTGATTTTGGGATGAACTCTGATAAGTGTTTTTAATTAGGAATGTTTTTGGAATGTTTGGATTTAAATGATATCTGTGTTTTGACTATAATAAAAATGAAAATTTTACCCTTGATTTTTTTGGTTCGTTACAAAGTCCTTTTCACGGTGCCCATACATACCACAACGTGGACATCTATGTCTTTTCTTGGGCTCATCAAGTGGTATAATTCTATTCTTTTTGGTTCGTCCAGCAAGCCATTTTATAATGGGTGGATATATATTCTTGATTGTCTCTATGTACACCATTGATCTTTTTTGGGCATCAGAGAAGTTTCTAATGCATATGCTTCTTTAAAATTGTCAACTGTGAAGTATATATATATATATATACACATTTCCCAATTAGGATCCCTCGTGAAAGCAATAAAAACAGTTTCATGCACACACAGAAGGCCTTTAACTTGCCAAACTCGACAACTACATTTTTTCTCATCTAATATTACCTCCCAACGTTTTCCCTTATAGTCAAATTATGCTCAATTGTCACTTTTATAAAAACTTGAAAGTCACCTAAGTTCTACATGAGAAAATAACATAAGAAAACTAATATTAGAACATGCATTTAATGATACAAAAAACAGTAGGAAACGTTTCTTGTCACCCTATGTCTGCATATCAATCTCCACAACACTTCCTGGATTTCTATTTTCAAGTTCCTGTTTGAAACCATATATATATATATATATATATATATATATATATATATATATATATATATATATATATATATATATGTAAGATTCATCCCATTTTCCATACATATTTATAAAAGCTTGTTCTTTTCCTCTAAAGACTCTCATATATGGCATGTCAACATTGTAGTTGTGCATAAGGCACATTTTTAGGTCGATATGAGAGACATCACCATCAGATTTCAACTTGTCAGTTACAACATCAACAATCCATCATTGAGTCGCATGTTTGTTACCAACCTTGTTGCTTTGAGTACGAGAATATGTTTCTACAAATTTCTTTACCTAGAAAATTATGTAAAAACATATAACTATGTTAACAAAATAAGAATACCAATAAATGTAATATTTCTTAAATTGGATACTTACTTCAAAAGCAACCTCATCTTTTAAGAGAATCATGAATTCTCCACTCACACTTTTTATCTTCACAACATGATGTAAGTCGTGTTAAATTACTTTTCTAAATGGTATACTGAAATTCATTTGTTAGTGCATGGAGGTTCAAAGACTGTCTAAAAGCAATCACATTTAGAAATTTAGAATTTACTTTCATAATTAAACTACCTTTGCTATGTTCATAAGTTTCACAATCATAGTATAGAAGATCATATTCATTATCGGAACTATGATAACTTTTTTTACCTGAACATAGCAAAAGTAGTCTAATTATGAAAGTTACTAAGTTACTTTCATAAAATAAC